TTCCCTGCCATGTTTTTCAACAGTTCCAACCAGCTGTCCCTGGCTGTCTACACTGTGACCTTCGTGACAGGCCTGCCCCTCAACCTGTTGGCCTTCTGCGCCTTTGTGGTGAAGGCCCGCCGGCGCCTGCTGCCAGCCGACATCCTGCTCCTCAACTTGACGGTGTCCGACCTGGTGCTGCTGGCCTTCCTGCCTGTCCGCATCGCCGAGGCCTCCTGGGACATGAAGTGGAACATGCGAGAATTTCTCTGCCCTCTCTTCGGCCTCCTCTTCTTCAGTAGCATCTACCTCACCACCCTCTCGCTCACCAGCGTCAGCGCCGGCGCCTGCTGCCAGCCGACATCCTGCTCCTCAACTTGACGGTGTCCGACCTGGTGCTGCTGGCCTTCCTGCCTGTCCGCATCGCCGAGGCCTCCTGGGACATGAAGTGGAACATGCGAGAATTTCTCTGCCCTCTCTTCGGCCTCCTCTTCTTCAGTAGCATCTACCTCACCACCCTCTCGCTCACCAGCGTCAGTGTCGACCGTTACCTCAGTGTAGCCTTCCCCATCCGCTACAAGGCAAGACGCCGGCCGGCCTACGCCATGGTAGCTGTGGTCTTGTTCTGGCTGGCTGCCTTCTCCCACTGCAGCATTGTCTATGTGGTCCAGTACCAGGGCAGGGACAATGACACAGCAAGCCAGCTCACCCAATGCTATACCACATTCAACAACCAGCAGTTGACCCTCCTGCTGCCCTTCCGCCTGGAAATGTTCCTGATCCTCTTCTGTCTCCCACTGGGCATCACCACCTTCTGCTATGTCAGATTCATCTCCATCATCCGCTCCCTGCCCCTGGTGAACCCCGGGAGGAAGCGCCGAGCCATTGGGCTGGTGGCAGCCACGTTTCTCATTTTCGTGGTCTGCTTCGCCCCCTTCAACATCTCCCATGTGGTGGGATACGTGGAAAAGAAGAGCCCAGAGTGGAGAACCTACGCTGTGCTCCTCAGCACCTTCAATGCCAGCTTAGATCCCATCATCTTTTACTTCTCCTCCTCATCTTTCCAGAAGATCTGCTGGGAGTGCCTGCAGGCAGTTTGGGAAAAACTGCAGCTCGGCTGGCTCTGCCCTAGAGTCTGGCTGGAGTCCCCAGAGAATGTGGTCACAGAGGATTCACAGATGGTACAGTGAGATGGACAGGGTGGGGAGCCCAGTTCCATCTCCACCAGGTCTGGGATGTGTTGAGGTTCCTGCCTGCCATGAACTGAAGGCGGTGAGGGAATATTCCCAAATTAGGGCTTCTTTGTGCTTGCAAGTTGTTTCGGATTCTGTTTGCCCTTTAATCAGGTGTAATTTCCGAAAGCTACATGTACACAATAACTTGCACAAGCTGCTTCCCTTTTGAGTCATTGTTCCCACACGGCCCCGCACTCTTACTAAATAACCATGCAATCTTCTAGGAAAATATCCTGTACTGCAGCATCCCAGCGCTCGCCTCTACGCCTCCTGGGATTTCACATATTGTGAGATGTCCCTGCAATTCCGGCAAGCCAGTGCCAGTAACACAAATGGGCAGATGCGCGCCTCTTTGCTGTACCCTAGCCACATGGTGTTGGAAATGGCCAAAGTGCTCTGGACAAAGGAGGAGATCAAGCAACAGGTTGTGTGCATGGACTCTTCAGGGCCCGTGGTGGAGCACCAGCTCTGGGCACCTAGGGCCAAGAGATGGGATGGGTCCAACCATCCAGGATGGCAGCACTTCAGGACAATTGGCCAGGCCCCTGGAGATCCATGCAGAGCTCACCCCAGAGCTACAGGAGAGCAATAGCCCCACGAGTGCTCCCCTCAGCATGAAGAAATGCATCACAGTCGCCAGCTGGAAATTCATCCCCCCATAGGCCAGGTTGTCTTCCTCCCCCTTCACTCCCTGTGCTCCTCCATTGCATCTGGAAGCAGCTCCCATCCTTTCCCACCTGCACGGTGCCAAGGACCACAGCTGGCCACATTCTCGTGTGAACCCTGGCAGAAAGCTGGGGGCAGTGTGACCCTGCATGCCCACCCATGCGTTGCCTCTGGAAGACACGGCACCGTGTAACAGGAGAGAGGGGCTCAGCCCAGAATGGACAGAGAGTATTGGTCAGGGAGAGTTGGGTGGATGGGAGGGTGGGCTGGTCATCTCCTCCCACCTCCATGTGAGAGAGGTGCCCAGGAGTGTGCGTGTGTGTCACCCCCACTCCATGTGTGTGGGGGTTGTGTGTGTGGGGGGTGTCACGCCTCCCTGTGTGCCCCCTAAAGCCTTAGAGCACTTCATGTGTGTGGGGGTTGTGTGTGTGTGGGGTGTCATGCCTCCCTGTGTGCCCCCTAAAGCCTTAGAGCAGTGGTCACCAACCAGTAGATCGGGATCTACTGGTGGATCTTAGAGCCTCTGACCTGTGACTGCTTTGACCAGAAAGCTATCAAGTGCTGGCACTTCAGTTGCCCCTCCACCTGCTGTCATGCTCCTCCTGCCCTCTGCCTTGGAGCTGCCCCCCTAGGAGCCTCCTGTTTGCTGTGTAGGCTGTTGGAGAGAGAAGAGCAGGTGTTCCTCCTCCCCACTCTCTTGTACCCCATCTCCACACAGAGAGAAGGGGATGGAGGGAGCTTGGCAATGCAAATCTCTGTCATTCTCACACACTGGCTACGTCTACACTGGCCCCAAATTCCGGAAAAGGGATGCAAATCAGGTAAGTCAGCATAGGGAAATCCGCGGGGGATTTAAATATCCCCCGTGGATTTAAATAAACATGTCTGCTGCTTTTTTTCCGGCTTGGGGAAAAGCCGGAAAAAAAGCGTCTAGACTGGCGTGATCCTCCGGAATAAAGCCCTTTTCCGACAGGGGATCCAGACTGGGTTGGCCAGGAAGCTATCAAAGTTGCCCCTCCACCTGCTGTCATGCTGCTCCTGCCCTCTGCGCTGGAGCCGCCCACCTCGGAGCTTCCTGCTTGCAGTGCAGGATGTGGGAGGGAGAAGAGGAGGGGTGCTGAGGTCAGGGTGTCCTCTCCTCCACCCGCTCCTGTACTCATCTCCACACAGAGAGGTGATGGAGGGAATGTAAATCTCTGTCTCTCACACATCCCGTGTGTGTCTGTCATTCTCTCTCTCTCTCTCTCTCTCTCTCTCTCTCTCTCTCACTCACACACACACACACACACACACACACACTCTCTCTCTCTCTCTCTCTCTCTCACACACACACACACACACACACACACACACACACACACACACACACACACACACACACAGAGTTCTTCTCTCATCTCCTGACCCAACACATACATGGGGGGGTTGTTGTTACTTCTGTTACTGCTTGCAAAGTGGGTTAATTTTGGGTTTGCACTGGTCTGTGCATTTCATCATTTTCATTTGTCTCTTACGCTTCAATGTAATTCTTTGAGTAATGAGTTCTCAAATCCTAACCTGTCATGGGTGGAGTCGTTATCTGTATGGTAATCGCTGTTCCTGGAAGTGGCTGGCATGTCCCTGCAGCCCATGAGAGAGGCAGAGCAGGGCATCTCCACATGCTGTCCTTGCCTGCAGACACAGGTCTGACCGGGGGGGTGCCACTCAGACCCAGAGTGTAGAAAATTGTGTCTGCTGTTGGTGCAGTGAGGCGGGTATGGGGGCATCATTTGAGCTCCCCGTGTCAGTTGCCAAAATGTTGTGGGCCGGCCCTGTGCAGACAGCACTCCTGTAGCTCCCATTGATCAATAGCGGAGACACATGTCCAGTAGAAGCTGCAGGCTGAAGGCCTGTAGACGAGGGGCATGGAGCCACTGCTGTACATGCCAGTTGCTTTCAGGAGTGGTGCAGGGTCAGGGCAGGAGTGAGCCTGCCTGAACCCCACTGCTCCATTACCAGGAAGCCACCTCAATTAAATGGTGCCCGGCCAGAACCTGCTTCCTGAACCCCTGTCCCAGCCCTGAACCTTCTTCTACACCCAACCTCCTGCCCCGGACTTGAGGACACCTGCACCTAAACCCCTTCCCAGAGCTTGCACCCTGAAACCCCTCCTGGACCTCAATCCTCCAAACTCCTTGGCCCAAAACCAGAGCCTGCACTCCAATCCCCCAGCCCGGCCTGCTGAAAGTGCGTGAGGATGGGGCATGGAGTGAGCAGGCCTTGGAGAAGGGTGGAGCAGGAACAGGGCCTCTAAGAAGGAGCAGGAAAAAAGTGGGGTGAGGGTATTTGGGTTTGAGGTTGATCTTACATTGCACTTACATTGAAAAAGTGATCTTGTGGTTCAAAAGGTTGGAGACCCCTGCACTAGAGAGAAAAGGTAAATGAAAAGACACAAGCCACACACCTGCTTTCTGCTCAGCCAGCTGGATGTTAATTGGAATGTCAATCAGAGTGGTGCAATACAAATAGCTGTTGAATTCACTTGAATTTTACCTGGTGTCCCGTATTCAGCAGAGGGAAATAGGGCCACTGTGCCTATGGGGAAGGCAGGATTCATCGGCTTTGCTGGGAATCTAGTGGGGTAGAGCAGGGAGGCTGGAGCCAAGATACCTGGTTCTCTTCCCCAGCTCTCCCAGGGGAGTGAGTCGAGCCATTAGAGCAGGGGCTGGGAGCCAAGCCTGCTGGGCTAAGGGCTGGCATGGCCAAAGACTGTAGGGTGGGGCCAGAGATGCCAAGTGTGTACCCTGCAGTGATACACACCCTGGCCCAAATCCTACCTTCCCTCTGGAAGGACAGGTGAGCCAGCCCCTGGCAGGCCCGAATTAATGTCCATCCATCCCTGCCCACGCCCCAGTGGCAGGTACCCAGCACCTCAGCTTTGTTTCACAGCACTGATGCTATTACGCCTATGCCACTAGGATTTCATCCAGCTACCCTGGGAAAGGGGAGGGAGGGAGTCGCAGCCAAACCCAGAGTCCTGCAAGAGACCTGGCTTCATTCCTCCCTGCCCAAGACAAGGCCTTGTGTGTGTATTGGGGCAGGGCCAGCTCTAGGTTTTTTGCCGCCCTAAGCAAAAAATATTTTGTTACCCCTCTTTTTTTTTTGTCTATGGAGGATGCGTGAGCAAATGTAGCTTGCATAGCTTGCTGGGGGCGCATGTGCAAATGCATCTTGTGCAGCTTCCTGGGGTATGGGGTGTGCACTCTGGGGGGAGCCCAAACCCTGGGGCATTTTCATCTCCTAGGACAGTGCCAGGGACTCCCCACATGAGGACAATGGGAGGGCAGGTTCATCCACAGCAAGACAGCTAAAGACTTCCAAAGCATGCAGCTGTTCACATCACCTAGTGCTGGAGTCCCCGTCCCTCTCCTCACTCTGCAAAGGGATTTTATTATTAGAAGCCTTATAATCACTCAGACTCCAACCCCAACACATAAGCTGTCCAACTCCTGGTGTTCATGGACAAGAATCAGCCTCACTATACAATGAAACAGTTCAAAGGGATTAAGAGAAGTTTTGTTTCAACTCCCCATCTCAACTGTCCAGAAGAAGACAGGCACCAGACAACAAAACTCCACTAGCCTAGGACTTATTCCATGAGCGCAGCCCTGGGCTTTCTCCTTCAGGGATGGACCAAACAGCCTCTGAAGCAGGGTGGATTGATTTAAATAGCTTTGATTTAAATCTCTAATTTTAATCATGATTTAAACTGGCAAGCAGAAAACCTTTGTTGAAATGAGCAATTAATCATTTAAATTATGATTTTAAAATATTTTCCTAAAGGATGGTTGAGTCTTTTTGATTAGCAACCATTAAAACATATTGATTTACAACTAAATATAACCTTTATGCCAAATCTGGTGCTTCTGTTTACTACCCACGAGAATACACTCAGTACAGCTACCAACTAAATAAATGCCCAAATAATTCTGTAACTTATGGTCTTATGTACATGTAATCAGATTCTTAAATTTTACATTTTTATTCTATTACAAAATGGTGTATAATAGGAACACTTAAGAGACAGTTTTTACCCCATTTATTATTTGCTAAGTAGTGACTACCTTTTAAAAAACATACGATTTGCATCTACTTCTATCTGGACGGAAATTCAATTTAAACCAGCATTTAATTTTTGTATGAAATAAAACTACCTTAAATGTGAAGGACACACAACAAAAGTATCCAAATATATTTTGCATCTAAAATTCATTTATTAAACAAAGGAAATATTCATAGTGAATTTAACA